TGTGGGTGGTGTGACAGGCCACCACGACGCTGCACACGCGCGACAACTGTGACCAGCCACTGGATGCAAGATCAGCGCGTTTGGGCCTTCCCAGGTCTTCAAGTTGTCCTGTACCGCATCTCACCCAAAAAGGCTTTGGATGCAAATCTGTCCATTGGCATCCAGGCGCTAACGGCGACCTTTCCAAGTAGGCGTCGGGCTTGTCCGACCGAGTTGCGTTTTTTTGCTCCTCCATTGCGTATGTAAAGGCAAATTATTCTTGATACTTTGGACATGTGCGCCGCGCCAGAGTCGCGGAAGCCCACGGAAGCTTTGCGGAAGGGTTTTACGCGGAAGCTTGCGGAAGGGTTTACGGAGTATGTGTTTTTTTTTGGTGCTGATAGTGCAGCTTGTGGAACAAGCAAATGAGCCAACGATGAAGCAGCTTTGGTGAAGCAGAATCCCAAATGCGATTTTCGCGGAAGCGCTGCGGAAGCTTTGCGGAAGGCCTGCGGCGGCGCCCGACCTTTCCTTTCGTAGGCCGCCAACTTGCCCATATACCCAGACGTTCCACTCTCCACAACGAGGCCTTGAATCAGCCAAGCTCCGGCAGCTGGAGCACTGCAGCAGCAGCTCCTCAACCTCCTCGGGGAAAGCCGAAGCGCTTCCCACCGGACGGTCGCGCTAGGAGGCAAAGCGTTGCAGCCAGCGGCGTGCCGTAGCGAACGCTTGCCAGCCAACCAACACGCAAGGAGGCAAGCAGGAGGCGGGCAGGCAAGCAAGCAAGAGCCAAGAAGAAGAGAGGCAAGGAAGCAAGGAAGCAAGGAAGCAAGGAAGCAAGGAAGCAAGGAAGCAAGGAAGCAAGGAAGCAAGGAAGCAAGGAAGCAAGGAAGCAAGGAAGCAAGGAAGCAAGGAAGCAAGGAACAAGCAAGCAAGCAAGGAAGCAAGGAAGCAAGGAAGCAAGCAAGCAAGCAAGCAAGCAAGCAAGCAAGCAAGCAAGCAAGCAAGCAAGCAAGCAAGCAAGCAAGCAAGCAAGCAAGCAAGCAAGCAAGCAAGCAAGCAAGCAAGCAAGCTGGTTCGAACACTATGCCAAAACGGGGTCGCGGAAGCGAACTGCCTTGTAGTGCTGCAAACTCATATCCATGGAGCTCGTGGAAGCAACTTTTCTAGCGAAACGCTTCGCAGAAGGTATATACCCCTGCAGGCCGCGGAAGCGCCGCGGAAGGGTCGGCGGAAGGTTGAACAATTTGGAATGAATGAATAGGGAATAAAGACACCACTCAACTGGCTGAGGGTCTTTGTCGCAGGTACGCGTCAACGTTTTTGCTTGTTTCTGCTTGGGCTTCACGTGGGCATAGCATGGTCTCCGCTTCCAAGCCTCAGCGCAAAGGCGAGCCGTGAATGAGGGCATTGACTTTGAAGGGCAAGGCTGGGCGGTTGGCACGCAGGAGAACAAGGCGAAGAACTGTTGGGCAGCTTGACCAAGAAGTTGCCGGCGATAAAGATGACTCATGACCCCCGTTTCACACGCGGCTCAACAGGCCTTATGCAGTCATTTTTAACAGGGGCAGGCCAATCATTTGTTAAGCTAAAGCTGCCACGGGCCTGCGACGGCAAGGCATACTAGATCAACAGACTCTAGCTTCGCTTGTGGTTGGCAGTGTGCCATCAAGATGGGCGTGTTTGGGCGCTTTTGCACTTTCGGTTCCCAGGTGAAAGCGCCGCAGGAGTACGACAATCAAGGCTGCGGCCAGAAGTTGCCCATGGGCTCCTTTGGCCCAGACTTCAACCGTCGAGGAGGCGGGCGATGGGAGCGCGCGGGCATGGCTTTACACGAAAATGTCAAGGCATCCCAGGCCTGGGCCAGAGGGAGGCGCCTACGAGCGTTTGGGTCGGGGCTGGCGTCCGGGTGCTGCATCAGATCATCAGCAAGTGCGTGATGATTTTGCTTCAATCAGCTGACATGGGCATGAGCCAAATTGGGCGCAGCACACTCCCAAGCGCTTTGCAGAGGCGGCACCTTTGTGGCTGAGTGGGATCCAGTGGCAACCTGGCTTAGAGACTACGGATCTATAAGTTTGCACACTTTCGATCGTGGGGTGGGCGACTGCTGGGAACCAGAGAGGAGGTTCCTTCCGTACCCAGACATGCTAACTTGGGCTGAGCATGTTTGTGGTGTTTTCTCGGCTTTGATTGGCACGGTCTACGTCCACACGATGACTGTACTGCAACTTGAGGTGAACAAGCGGCTGCGCACGTGGTTCTTCCCTGCAGGGACGGAGCCGGAGTTTGGGGAGAACCCGGATCCAGACCTGTGGGGCGTGCCCAACTCCTTCTTCACGCTGAACGAGCGCTGGTGCGCCCCCAAGACCAGAGTGGCGAGGGCAGACCCTGGCTGTTGACACGGTTTTGGGACGCTCTGAAGGTCAAACAGGCTGTTGGGCCTTTGTGACTGGTCCTGGCCCCAGCACGGGCCTGCCAGGTGCACAGCGGCGCACTTCAAGAACATGCGGATGGTTTTTGATACCACCTTTTGTGGCGCCTCGGTTGGGTGAGCCGGGGCAGCAGAATGTTTGAGTAGCCTGGATGTCAAAAGCAGGCTTGCATAGCCTTGGGCTTGTCACAGCTCGAACTTCATTCCACACGCACGATGCCATAAACAGTCATGTGTCAGGCAATCCGATCTATTTGTAGTGGCATGGCTGGTTGAGGGCTCCTGAGTTTGTCAATGTCATGACGGGCTGCTTTGATGAAGACGCATTGCACGCTGTTGATGCGCAACTCTACGATCTGAACCTGGCAGGAGATTATGCCGGAGGATCGTTCGCGGCATACTGTGGTTGGACACAGATGCAGTGCGAAGACTACGTGCGCACGAAGCCTGAAGCATTCAGCTACTCGGATAAAGACATTGATTGTTTGAATGCTGGTGTGGACATGTGTGAACACTGCCGGGGCATTGCCAACAGAAGGCAAGCAAGAGGCCGAACAGGCGCGGCGTCGGGGATGTTTGATCCTGTGAGATTTCCCGAGGCCAAGCTTTCTGGAGCATCAAGCGTTTGGCTGCTTTGCTGCAAAGTGCGTACATACATAACATAGTGCTTTGTTTAGGCTGGCATCCCTTGGTTCTCCATAGAAGCAAGCTGTCAGATTGTGTCAGCTGTGTGGAGCTGTCAGGATGTCTATCAGAGCGCCGCAGACGAGCCCTCAGAGCCGGCAGAACAAGACAACACATCGCCGCAAAGAGGGGTCTATGCTTCGAAGCTGAGGTCTCTTCGGCCGGCTTTATGTCCAGTATGTTTGGGTTGGGGAGCTCTTCGCCTACATCACCGCTGCTCAGCTGGTGGTTGTAATCTCATGCTTGGCCGCTGCTATCTCGGAGAAATTTGAATAGTTCCGCGTTTGGCATCGCCAGCGTTCTCAGATGGAAGATTCACTTCCATGAATTTGTTCTTGTGCCCTTATTGCTTTGCCCCTCGCTTTGCTCCCATCGAGTCCAGCTCCGGCCCAGAGGCACCAATTGATTTCTTAGGTTGGGCATTTTTATGTTCCTCTTGCTCTTGGGGCTGGCGGCCGGCTTGATCTACATGTCTTGCAGCCCCAAACGTTTGGAGGCGATCCAAGCGGCAGCCTGGCCAAATGAAGTGCGCTGATGCATGTCTTGACAGTAAGCCAGGAGGATCTGGCCACTTTTGCGTTGCGTGCTCGTGTCCAGTTGCTCTTGACCTATGGTAATGCAAGCGGGGAGACAAACGATCAGGTCTGAAGGTGGGTGACAAAGTGGGTGTCTTCAATCGGGGAAGCCATACAAAGAGTGCAGGTACTCAGGTACTCTTTCGGGGGCTTTACCATCCGAGCAGTCTTCGATTTAGTTAGTACTGGTTTAGGCCTGTGTCAAGTTTGCGTGAGGAAGTTTAGCATTGCTCCTTTGATGTTGGTTTAGCATTGCTCCAGTTTTTAATTAAGCAGAAAAGCATCATTTTTTGCCCAATAGTTTCCCAGTGCGCGGCGCGTCACTTTTGAGGTCACACTCTTAGCAACCCCCCCACGCCCATGTCGCTCAAATGCACGCATGCCTGGCGCATGCTAAGCACACCCGCCCACGCGCATGTCGCTCAAATGCACGCGTGCCTGGCACATGGTAATCGCACCCGCCCACAGGCATGACTCTCAAATGCACGCATTCCTGGCACATGGTACGCACACTCGCCCACGCGTATGTCGCTCAAATGCACGCATGCCTGGCACACGGTAAAAGCACACCCACGCGCTTTTCGCTCAATTGCACGCATACCTGGCGCATGGTAATCGACCACCCGCCCACAGGCATGTCGCTCAAATGCACGCATGCCTGGCACGTGCTAGGCACACCCGCCCACGCGCATGTTGCCCAAATGTACCAGCGCGGCAGCCTGCTCTGAGCAGCCAAGATAGAACAAAAGACACCCTCTCCCACCACGAGGAAAGTGCACAAACCCTTACAGTAATCTTGTTAGAAAGCCCTCCTTTTGGAGTAAGATAGATGTCCTGAAGTACCGGTGAAAACGCGTTAATTCCCTCTGGTGGCGTTGAAGCCGACTTTTCGCTTTGGCCTCTTCAAAAACCAAGGAGAGCATTCAATGAACTAGGCCATCATTTTCGCACTCTTGAAAGCAAGGACTTAGATATCAAAAAAGCAAGATTTCAGCCGACAACCCTTGTCGGGGCGGCGGGGCAACCCCATGCCTGTTTATGAAAGTGTAGATCCTGCCCCCTTTGGCCTTGCACTTTGAAGAAGGAATTCATATTTTTGCCCTGTGCTTACTTGTCCCCAGGAAGCTGCGCATTTAGTTTGTCTCTTGCGTCCAGTTGATTTGGCGGTGTCCTCTGACTGTACGGCCACCGATCGCAGCCAAGGCGGCGGGCATATCGCCTTATGCCACCCAGGCGAGAGTTGCACGAGTGATTTTCAGAAATGCGCGTGGAAACATGTGGAGACTTTGGGGGCCCATGGCGCCCCATGGCTATCTTGCGCTTTATCTCACATGGCTGGCTTGGTTGCGCGTGGGGAATCAACAGTCTTCTAACTCATTGGGCAAGTTGTGGAGAACAGGCAGTGCCTTTCCCTGACTGAGCATGTTGGCTGCTCGCACTTCAACACAAGATGCGGCACCCCATCTATCGTCCACGGTAGGAAATGCTTGCAAACGCCGAGGCCGCGCGTGGTCCTTCACTTGGAACCAGCGTCTCTGCTGCATTGCTTGAAGCTGGCTGCTAGCCGGCGCAGCACCGAATGTTTTGCGGCGTATTGTGTGATCTAGCCAGCCCTCGTATGATTCAAAGACCCGGGGACTGGGTGTCACCACATTCTCACCTGTGAGGATGCCGTGCAGGGAGGAGTCATGATTAAACCTGCACATGGAGTTGCAAGCTCGCCTCAAGAGTCCGAGGCCCCAAGCGGCAGAGAGTCGCATGCTCAGAAACTGCTTGGCCACAGGGCGTAAGATGCTAGGATATCATGGAAAGGATGGTGCAGAATGAGGGAGAGGGATAGTCAACAATCATGTTGTGAGCAGTTGCTACTCATTGGCATGGCTTCTTAACCGTGTTTCTCGACATGTGCTTGTGAAGCCATTGGTCAGTTGGGCCGTGTTTTGAGTCAACTCCCGCAGCCTTTGCGAGGAAGTCTTTCTCAGAACAGAAGACCTCCCACCAACCAGGCTCGACTTTGAGCAGGCACCTCAAGGCCTGGCAATGCGCGGCCGCTTGCATGCCCTGCCCATGGGCCTTGCTTTGCCAGGCTGGAGCTTTGCCCGGGTGATGCGCATGCCGCGGCCTCGGGAGCTCAGCCTGAGGACATGGGCCGCGCCAAAAAGAGTCAGCACACGCAGCCGTTGCATGTGGAAAACAGTTTGGCAGCCGAGGATGTGCTGCACCAACGACCCGCCGCCAGACAACGCGGGAACCTCAGCCATGGCCATTGTCAAACACTTCCCTGCTTGCCGACAGGCTACGAGGGTTATAAGGTGCAGTTTTCACGTTGCTTCATGGGCATCATCATGTTGAGAAGCTGTTGGTGTCGCTGCTTTTTCCCTGAGGTCCACTCACCCAATCGCCCCGTCGGTGCTCCTGCCATGTTGGAGCCCCTTACAACGAGATTTTGGATCATTGCAGGAGGGTTGTTGAGTGGATGGGCTGCTCAAAGCCAGCCCGCGTTCGACCAATTGTAGGGTTTGCTTTGGGCTCTTGGCAGGTTATGACGAGGTGGCGCCTGTCAGCCCGGTGAACCATTTGAACCAGCCTCGCGTGGCGAGCCGCCAGTCGTCGGCAAGCATGCAGGCCCGCAAACCAATCTACACACGCGCTGGTTTTTGACAGGGCCAAGGGTCTCTTTGTCTTGTGGGGCCTCAAGTGGCAAGAGGCAGCGGTGAGGGTAACGCTATGCCATCCCCTGGGCAGGCTGGAGTTGCTCGGCAGGCTGGGCATGATACGCTTTGCAAAGAGGATGAGGCGTATTTGTGCTCCTGAGACGGCTTCACACTTGGCAACAAGCGGCATGTGCAGCTCTTGCTTTTGTGTCTTGTGATTGGCTTCCTTTGCTCTCAGGCCTCTGGCACGCTGGTGCGTCAGGCGGGGTGACGGGAGCAGCTTGGGGAATTCTGGCATCAGCCGCGCCGTGACACCAAATGGCCGGCAGGGAGAAGGTCTTTCTCCGGCCCCCCCCACTGTACTCTTCCCTAGCGGCATAGACCTCTCAAGCCCAGAAACGCGTTTGAGTTCCCTCAGCCGTTGGAACAGGTTGCAGGTTGGTGGAAAGGGGGCTGGCAAAGGGTGCTGCTTGGGATCCTGGGGCATTGTTTGCACTTCCGGGGCTTTTGCGGGTTTTGGTGCAAGTGATGTTGCAGGTTGCAGGTGCCGGTGCCATTGCTGGTGCCACCTTCATGATTTCTTATGTTTCTTGTTTGCAACATGCAATCGACTTTTTGGGGGTCCATGCCGGTGCAACCGCAGCTATTTCACATCCCTGGCTCAGCACTTTCACGATTCAAACGCTCGTTCCAGGGCTCCGGCAAGCTGGTGCGTCAGGCAGGGGCAGCTCTCTTCGAAGTCCTTACGCTCTCTACGATGACTTTTGGAATCTTTTGGATGTCTTTGAAAGATTGGCGCCCTGTGCATGCATGAAAGTTATTGAGACTCCCGTCCCACCCTGCCTCAGCCCTCCGGTGCGCTGGTGCGGCAGGCGGGCCGCAATGCGATACTGTAGGGTCTTCGAGGGGGGTGGGGTGGCCATATGTTCGTGTGACCGCTTGGGGCAAATGTATTAGTCATTCGTTCAACTCCGTGAGAGCTACCCTGCGAACCTTGAATGTCAGATGGGTTGCTGTATGGCAAGTCGGATCAAGTTCTGCCTCGTGCGTCCCAGAATCACCCGACTCGCTGACACTGGCGCAACCCTGCGTATGAAAACCTGAGTGCTGCTTCCTTAATCGGCCTCGCATGCCTTGTACCATATGCGGGGTTGTGCCTCGTGCTAACCCGTGAAAGGGCCATCCACCATTGCTGCGGCTCCTGCATAGCAGTTCTCATCGCTTTCGCATCGGTTGCGCTTTTCTTCTTCGGCGGGGTGGGTTTCAATGTTGCGGAGTGGGGTGCTATATTTACCGCCCGATCGCCCTTTGCAACGACGGCTCTATGATAGGTGTTTTGTCTTTGTCCCTGCTTCTGCGATTCCTTGCTGTCGCTGGGAACTCCCCCCATGCTGCGGCATAGAAAACTCCCAGCTCTTGCGCCACATCAGCGTGTGCGACACCAATCAGTGGATGGACTCCGCGAGGGCCATCTAAATCCAAGCTACCCAAAGCGGTGCCTATCAACATCCGTTCTGAACCACAACTCGAAAGTGCAATTTTGTTTCAAATTGCGGCCAGTCTTCCAGTGCGACTACTCTATCCCTCCATCCGACTCCTGTACCGAGCCGCAGGCATGCGCTCGGGCTCTCAGGTCAGGAGCATCACTTTGATACAACGAGTACTCACGATGCATTACCCAGAGGGCACATCCAATATTACAGCCTTGGGAATGCCCAAGTGTTGTCTCAAACGAACCCGAAAAGCAATTTGGCTTTCTTTAAAGCCAAGCAAAAATGGGTACAGGGAGCCCTGCGGTGCAAAACCGTGGCAAACGCGTGGACACCCAAGGGAAACCGTAGAAACCAGTGGAAACCCAAGGGACGCTCAGGCGACAAGTATGGACAAGCGTGGACAAGCGTGGAGGGCGACCTGGAGTCGACTTCTTTTGCAGACAAAGCACAGGCAACACTCCACGTGACTGCGCAGCATGCCACGAATCTTCCGCACAGGCCGCGTGGGATGCGTGCGGAGTTGCAAGCAGCAGCCCAATAATATTCGGTGGATCTATATAACAGCCGGCAGTCCACTCTTGCACTTGGTCTGCCCAGCGGAGGGAGCAGCTCTTTCAGCGTCCGTGTCAATGTTTTACCCTCTCTTGCACGTGCCATGCGGCGCCATTTTTGCATTTGTGCTGCCCCTTTGCAGGGGAGGGTGGAAGCAGTATCTTGGAGAGAATGATTTAGATTCAGACAGGGAGGAGGGTTACGGAGTCTTTGCAAACTGGATCGTGGAAAGGGTAGAGCGTCGGAGCACCCCTGCAGTTTCAGAAGAGACTTCTACACACTTGAGCAACCAGCTGAGCGCAGCTGGTACAGGATAACTCTTTTTTGTCAGCTGGGAGCTGCTAACGACCAGTCGGGAGCTGCTGAGACACAGTGGCTCGGAAAAGGTGCCGGCAGGGTTAGCTTGATTTTTCAGAATAGGATAACGTGCCAGCAAACTGCAGGCCCACAGTGCTCGCATCACAGTTCGCGCCCAAAGGGCTGAGTGACAATCCGCAGGGCTCGGGGCTGATGGTGGTCCCTGCGCCTTCGCCCTGAGACTTGGCATGCAGCTTGGCAGCAAGTCACACAATGTGCTGCAGCGTGTTGCCACCATTGCCCTCAAGGAACATGTTGCAGGTTTTGGGTACTGAGCTGCGCTGAGCTGCTTGCGGTGTGCAATTTGCCGTGAAATGTGTTGCCTTTGAGCCTGCAGCTGCACGTGTTGTTCTTCCCGTGTCGGGACGTGTTGAGGTTTTGGAGGGGCATTGGAGGATGCTCTGTTGCAGCCCTGCCCTGCGGCCCAGGAAACACACCGCAAGTGCAGCTGAGACAGCGTGAATTAGTGGCCCAAGCGACAGCTGGGCAACTGTACCATTGCTCAAGTGGAGGTGGTGGAAAAAGACTTTCTGCACCACTTCCATCCGAACTGCTCCAAAGGGCTGGTAGTAGCCCCCTAGTGGCAGCATTGGCAGCGAGCCGCACTTGTCGGCCGCGCTGCAAGTGCTCGGAGAGTTTTTCGGGATGCGCCTCCTTGCCACCGTAATTCTGCAGTCGATTTTTCGAATCGAAGAATGCAGCCGCTTGCAGGAGCAGAGTGCGGGCCACAACCACAAACCATGCAGACGTAGACGGCCTGTGTTCGTTTCACGTAATTTCTGAACCCGTGTTGCACGACTCTTCTGAACCCCTGGCCACAGGTTCAGTGCACGAGCCCGGGCCCCTCCAATGCCTGAAACGTATGCTGGACCTTGGCATGCCTTAGGGTACCTTGGCCGGGCACTCCCAGCTCCTGTGGGCAATTCGGTGCAGCTGACATAGCATGTCTCGAGGTGTCTTAGTGGGTATGAACCTTGTTGGCATCTCTCCTGGTCTCACTGCCTGCAGTCATGCACGTTTGCGTGGGAGGTGGGTTGGCTGTACTGAGTTCAATTTGCTTGTTGATGGATGCGTCACGCACATGACCAGGGCTTTTGCCCAGAAGCAGCCAATCGCCTGTGCCTAGTGGTAATTCGCCACAGGCTTCTCTCCCTGTGTTGAGGGCTTGCCTCGGCTAGGCAAAAAGGGAAACGGTGGAATGAGGTTTGCATGAGCAGGCAGCTGCGATGGTGTGCTCCTTGCTGCGTGCGCTGAAGAGTTCACAGACGCACACATCATCAATCAGTAAAGGAAAAGCGGGGTCCTGTTCAGTTTCCGTCCAGTAGTATTGCCCTTGTCTTCTGCGAGGCAGGCGATGATTGTATTTATGTCTGCTGCCTCCAGCTTGACAGTTATTCGTGCAAGTAGTTGAGACATCAACATGAGCGAGCAGAGTGCCCAAGCGTTTGCAGCGAGGCGTTTGTTCCAGTTCACACCCATTCAGGGTCTGGCTACCACAACTGCACAGACCATATTGCCTCCTTGGTTTGAAAACACGGGACCCCTGTCGCCATGCGTTAGCTTTGCTGCGGCACCTTTGCGCTGCAATGCGCTGGCTGACATGGTCAGCGGCCGAGCTAATGGAGCCATTAATGAGGTTTGAGCGCCAATTGTTTTGAGCATGTGTCTCTTGTTCCTTCACACTTCGGCTTGTCTTAAATGACTCCGAGGCTCACCTGCATTTGGCCAGTGCCTGCACCTGTGCCCTGCAGTGCGGGGCCTTAAGCAAATGGAGTGTGTCATGTTGGGGTCAGGCCAGGCGAAACTCTGCTCCTCTCAAGGCAGCCGATGCAAGCTGATGGCTGTGTTTGTCGCATTGCCCTGTTACTTGTGGTTTGTTGTGGCTCATATCGGTATTTATTTGCCCACCCAACACTCGTCCCCCAGTCCGCGCAATTCTACGGGTGAAGTGGGTTGAGAAGAGACTCAGAAGGATGGCTTCCGACGCGTGCGGTCCCCTGCTGCGAACGTTGCCTGCCAAGAACCAACGCTGGGCGCAGACGTGCAGGCTGAACTGGCACAGCCATCCATGGCTTCAGGCAACCAACAAATCGATGGTTTCCCATTAATGGTTTCTCTTTGAACCAGCCCCCAAAAAGGTATCATAAAGAGATGCACCCAAATCTGCCGTTGCAATTTCCAGGGGCGGCACCTGCCTTCTGAAAGCGCAGGTGGGCGACGTTTATGCGCAGATCGGACCCAGCAGGACGATTCTGCACGAGGAGGTGGAGGACCGGCGCGGCATCGTTTTTTCGGAGATCAACGGCACTTGTGGGATTCGGCATGTATTCCCCAGCAAGTGCTATGCCGACTCTGCGTTCGGACGGTTTGGGGGCGGGGTTTTGGAGGGTGCCAGGCAGTTCGCGGAGGTTCTGGGGAGGTTCCGGGAAGGTTACGGGCCTGGGCCGTGTAGATCGTTGGTAGGGATCTTGCCATCCTTCTTAGTTTCGCACTAAGGATGTACAAAGACGGGAACCAAGCAGCGCAGACGCCTAGTGAAAGCTTTTGCTGATGCGACATTTGTAGGCAGTTGCTAGCTTCCATAAAAGACTTCGTCCTTCGTCATTGTGATCCTCAATCAATATTATGTTAAATGTCTCACTCTGCATGCAACTAGCTTGCTAGAATTCATTGCGCAAGCTTACAATCTCGGAGGGATTTGCAGCACTTAGCTATGTCTCGATGAATGGAAGCGCATGATTCTCACTTGGCAGCCAATGGGCGCTGCGAATGGACGCTGCAGGAGAGAGATTGCGCCATTGTGACCTTCGGCTATGAGGGTCGGCATGCTCAAGCTATCTCAAGCTTACAAGGTTTCAACCACCTTCCTCATGCCTGCCATGCCTTGGTTTGCTCTGCCACGACCGCTGCAGGCATGATTGTGATCACATGCTTCGAGGGCGAACTTAATGTGACGACGGCGGGCTGCTCCCCAAGGCACGCTGGTGCTACTGTGCGCCCTTCCCGTGGCAAAATAATTCCCTCATAGCTGTGGCCATGACAAACAAAACACAACTTCAACATGCCTTTTGTAGTCACAAGCTTCCTTTGTGATGCAGATGTTGCCATTCTGCAATGCAGCCTGCCAGATCTGACCTTCTTCATGGCACCTTCAGACACCGGTGCTTTGAAAACCGCTCCATGCTGCCAAGTGAGGCGATGCCAGCCCTTCCAGTCCATCACCGTGCGCTTGGGGGAGTACTCCGTGAGTGCTTCGCCCCTGAACATCATTGCGCGGGGGCTCAGGTGCACACCATGGAATTGTAGTGCGATGCATGTGTCCGGATCACGCGCCTTTGGCGAGGCAAGCGGGGGGCAAGAGGTCCGCTTGTGCCGGAACCTGCTTGGCACCAAGACCTTTGCTTGCCAGCACGTCAGTATGTACAAGCCTTGCCACCTTAGCTTCTGCTAGCTGCTAGCTTTACGTGCCATGGAATGTGTCAGGCGTCGCCCGGTAGTATTCATTCCTGCTACCTCCCTGCTAGATGGAGCAATGCCTTTTCAGGAACCCGCTTTTCCGCAGCACGTACATCATGTACTGCAACTATGGTGAGGCCAGATCCTCAGAACTTGATTTGCAGGCACCGCTTTTGCGACAGATGTTGTTGTCACTGCCATCCCCAAATCAAGTCTCGCATGCTAGAGTTGTGGGCTGCAGCTGGGGGCACTCCACGCTCAGCCATGTGACGTCGCGTTTGTGGCACAAGGTGACCGTCGACATCAGCCAGTGTGTGACGCAGTCAGCCTCTCAAGTGCAGAGCAGCCGTAAGACAGGGATGCCACCGGGCAAGTGAGTGTTCAACTGCCTGGGTTCACGGCTTGGGTCAAGCTCCGTGGTCTGCGAAGGGGACGCGTGTCGGTAGCTGCGCAGGTGGGATCCTATGAGCAGCCCGCCTTGGTCAAGAAGATCCCGGCAGAGCGCGGTAGGCGGGGCATCTTCACACGTGCCTTGACTTTTGCTCGATGGCCTGGCCATTAAGACATAATACATCCTACAGCCGTCCTGTTTAAGAGTTTTCTATCACGGAAACCAGTGTGGCTGCTCTTCGTTTACCGCAGGCCTGAGCGACGGCGCAGTGCTGATGCCCCGGGCCTGGCACATGCGAATGGAAGGCAGCCATTGAATCTATTCTTCCCGCTGACTGTCGCCCCTGACTCATTCCAGCCTGGCTCTGAGGCTCGGAGGTCTTGGCAACGAAGGTCCAATCCGGGAGGCAGGTCATAGAAGCAAGAGTCGCATGATGGCACCGGCTATGCGACGCAGAAGGTGTGGCTTTGGGCTCCGAAACCGCCCATGGCCTTAGCGGGAAGATTTTGCATTGTGGCACCAAGGGCTATGTTTAGTCTGATGGTTTTGACGGGCTCTGTTTCTCCCCCGCTTTTCTCTCCACATTTCTCTCTGCTCCTTTAATCGCTCTTCTCTCCGCTCGGTTCCGCGTTCTGCTTCTGCCTTTTCTCCCTGCCATTTTCTCCACTATTTTCCTTCTGTTTGTGTCTCCCTCTTCTGCCTGGTGTTGAAGATTTTCTCGCCACTCGTTGCTGCCGTCTTTCGCTTTTCTTAAGTCTTTTTCTATCTCATGCCGGCACCGCAAGGGGGATTGTCACGGCCACACGTGCACGCGTGGTCCCAATTGATTTGCGCGCGAACTCAGGATTTAAGAACCCTGGTTGATCAATATGGGGCTTGTCTTACTTAGAAGCAATCCTTGGGGGAAGCACCTGCCAAATTTGGTTTTCTGACAGGTGCATTCGTCCGGGGTCCATGTTACAGGTGATGACGCCGCAAAGTTTAGCATCATTCAATCTTTATTGGGATAAGTTGCTTTACGAAAGACGGGCAGGGGAAGCGGGAAGCCACATTGTCGACCCGTGGAGCACGCTTTTAAATTCTTATTGGCGCTCAGGGGGACGCTAGAGGGCAGCTGGCATGCCACTGAAAAGCTGCCCCCCTGGCTGGGAGCCTCAGAGTTTCCGATGCAGTGCCATGGGTTTGCGGGTGGGGAGTGGTTGTGAACATGGTGCGTACAGAAACGTTGCCGTTAGGGCTTACCAGGCCTTGTGGACAGAAGCGTGGATTCGGTGAGCGGCATAAGTAGGTAGGCGGTTGCTTTTTCTGTTTTGGCGCCGTTTTGGTTGCTTTTTCTGCTTTCAGTGCCGAAGCCGCTTCCCAGCGGGCACTAGACGAGCACTAGACGGGCACTAGACGAGCGCTAGACGAGCACTAGACCACTAGACGGGCACTAGACGAGCACTAGACGGGCGCTAGCACGACACGCACTAGACGAGCACACGAGCACTAGACGGGCACACGGGCACTAGATGGGCACTAGACAGACACTAGACGGGCACTAGATGGGCCCTAGACGAGCACTAGACGGGCACTAGACGAGCACTAGACGGGCACTAGACGAGCACTAGACGAGCACTAGACGGGCACTAGACGAGCACTGGACGGGCACTAGACGAGCGCTAGACGGACACTAGACGCACAGACGAGCACTAGACGAGCACTAGACGGGCACTAGACGGGCACTAGACGAGCACTAGACTAGACGGGCACTAGACGAGCACTAGACGGGCGCTAGACGAGCACTAGACGGGCACTAGACGAGCACTAGACGGGCACTAGACAAGCACTAGACGGGCACTAGACGAGCACTAGACGGGCATTGGACGAGCACTAGATGGGCACTAGACGAGCACTAGACGAGCACTAGACGAGCACTAGACGGGCACTAGACGAGCACTAGACATGCACTAGACGAGCGCTAGACGGCACTAGACGAGCACTATAGACGAGCACTAGACGAGCACTAGACGGGCACTAGAGGAGCACTAGACGAGCGCTAGACGAGCACTAGACAAGCACTAGACGGGCACTAGACGAGCACTAGACGGGCACTAGACGAGAACGAGACACTAGACAGAGCACTAGACGAGCACTAGACGGGCACTAGACGAGCGCTAGACGAGCGCTAGACGAGCACTAGGGCACTAGACGAGCGCTAGACGGGCACTAGACGAGCGCTAGACGGGCACTAGACGAGCGCTAGACGAGCGCTAGACAAGCGCTAGACGGGCTAGACGAGCACTAGACGAGCACTAGACGAGCACTAGACGAGCACTAGACGAGCACCAGACGGGCACTAGACGAGCACTAGACGAGCACTAGACGGGCACTAGACGAGCACTAGACGGGCACTAGGCGAGCACTAGACGAGAACGAGACACTACACAGGGCACTAGACGAGCACTAGACGAGCACTAGACGGGCACTAGACGAGCGCTGGACGGGCACTAGACGAGCACTAGGGCACTAGACGAGCGCTAGACGGGCACTAGACGAGCACTAGACGAGCACTAGACGAGCACTAGACGAGCACTAGACGGGCTAGACGAGCACTAGACGAGCACTAGACGGGCACTAGGCGAGCACTAGACGAGCACTAGAAAGGCATATTTTTTTCAAATCGACTTTTTTCAATGTAAAATCGACCTTTTTTGTCGGCAAACTTTCCTGCTTTTCAATGCGCGATAACAAGACGGGATAGATTCTGGAGGTGTCACCGCAAGGCGCTTCCGCTTGAATCCCACATCGGTACATGCCAATCAAGGGTGGTTTGGGGGGGAGCGTTTCCCACAGGACCCGCTTGCAGCCCTGAGCTATTTCGAAGTTCGAAGCCAGTGCCCTGATATCACTTGCTTGCGTTGGACCACATGTGCATGCCGATTTTTTTTAGTGTGTTCTAAGTCCGCCAACTGCTACCCCAAATGGTACCCAACGCGCGGAAAATCATACAGCACAATGTGAGCGTTGCAATCCCCAAGCAAGCGGCGAACATACTCTTTTCTTCCGCGAGTCTGCGCTGCGCGAGGTCACCGCGACTGCCGCCAGTTGTCCGGCGCATCATCCCAGCGCTGGCTTTGCCAGTGGCTGGGCTGCCAGGACTGCCACCCGTCGTCGCCGTCCCAGCGCTGGCTGTCCCAGTGGCTGGGCTGCTCCGACTCAGAGGTGGTGCGCCACGGCGCAGCAGCTTCGCGCCACTGCTGCTGCTGCTGCTGCTGCTGGCTTTGCTGCAGCGCCTCGGCAGCCCTTTCCAGTTCCCAGCTCATTGCTTGGCGGAGGATGATATCGCTTGCGCGAGCTGGGGGCTGGCTCCTGGCCCTGCTGCGTTGCCAGCGGTTGTTGGGCGTCCAGCGCTGGCCTTCCTGCTGCCAGTAGCCGGCGTCATTGTCATGCCAGTCACGGCGATCTTCCCAGCGCTGGCCTTGCCAGTGGCTGGGCTGATCTTGATTTGACCCCGAGCGCTGGCTACGCCAGTAGCTCGGCGGGTCGTTCGCCTCACGTGCGCGGAGTGCTTCGCAGTGCATCTCGTGCTGCTGCAAAGCCCACGCATCATCGCGGGCGATTGTTCTTGGGCAGCCATGAGGGCAGCGCACGCGGTGGGCCAGACCTTGGCCACTGGAAGTGGCAGCGCACCGGCTGCTGGTGGTCTGATGCGCGCGCAGCGCCAGCATGTCGCCTTTGATAGTTTGCCCACAGATGTCGCACTGAATCACTGGAGCAAACCTATGGCGCATCGGCGGACGAGCCGCTGGGGGCGGCGGCGGCGGCAGCTGCATGCTTGTCGTTGGCGCTGGCGCTTGCGCGTCGCCAGTAGCAGGTGCTGCTTGCGCTGCCTGGCTGGCAGTGGCAAGTGCGGCCTGCGCTGGCTGAGTGGTGGCTGCTGCTGCACCTTGCGAAGCTGACTGTGCTGGCTGGGATTGGCCGGTGGCTGCTGCTGCTGCTGCTGCTGCTGCAGGGGGCGCTTGCTGCGCTGGCTGGGCTTGGCCAGTGGCAGCGGCAGCAGGAGGCGCCTGCTGTGCTGGCTGGGATTTGCCAGTGACGGCAGCTGCAAGGGGCGCTTGCTGCGGCGGCAGTGCTTGGCCCGTGGCATCAGCGGGGCGTGCTTGCTGCGCTGGCTGGGTTTGGCCAGTAGCAGCAGCCGCAGGGGGCGCCTGCTGCGCTGGCTGGCTGTGACTTGTCACTGCGGTGGCAGCAGCGCCAGGCGCGTGTGCTGCTGGCTGCTTTGGGGCGGCCGAAGCAGGCGCCGCTTCCTGGGCTGCCTTTGGCTTCCCGCTTGGAGGCGGCTGGGCAGCTTTCCCCGCCGCTGATGGCGCTGGCCCCGCCGAGCCAGTAGCCATCGCAGACGCAGCACTGCGCTGCTTGGGCGCGGCCGGGTCTGGCAGTAGGCTGCCGGAGCTTGCCGCTGCTGGCACGCCAGGCGTGCCGCCTTGGCCAGGGGGCGGCGTTGGCCGAGGCTCACACCCCAGGGCAATTTGCGCCCACGTTGCTTTGTTTCTAGTTTTCGGCGGCATGGCGAGGGCGTCAGAGGGCAGAAAACTAAGACTACAAGCTTGACATTGACCGGGGGCGACAACAGCTCGCCTAGCTAATTTGAGACTTGTGGCTGGGCCCTGACATGACTCTGTGGCGACGGCATGACCTGACAGCCATACCAGACTGATAATGATTTTGGGCCAAACAGCCAAAGGGTTCAATGCAAAATCATTGACGTTTGTGAAGTATTTCAACACGATGGACCCTGGACCAAGCAACATAAAAGACACAACGCAATGCTTTTTCCCTCAGAGCCAAAGAGTGCCTAACCCAGTGCCAAAGGCCTTGCAAGCGGGGCGGCCACGCCTACTTGGCAAGCTCAACCGCTTGCCCTGCTGTGACAGTGGTGCTGGCGGCGAGGACTATCATGGGGCGCACGGGCTGCAAACCGCGGGCAGACCACTTCACTGCCCACAGCAGATGCGCGCGAGACGTTTCCCAGCAGGATGTTTCCAGACAGCCTGCCAAGCTGGTCAGTGCCACAGTTACGCAGCCATCTGCGCTTTTCTTGTCCTCGGCGGCGGGTGCGTTCTCTGGACGGAATAGCACCTGGTTCTTCACCTGAAGCACGAAATGCTTTGCGTCTTCAGGGGTCGGCTGCTCTACCAAGTCGTGGTAGCAGATTACGACGCTGAGGGGGGTCAGCGCACGCTTCTGCGCCACGACTTGCCCCACAGTGGCGACTTTACCTTCAAAGACGACGAGGCTATTGCTATCGTGAAGCTGGTACAAGCAGTCCGACGCGCGAAGCTGCAAGCCATCTGCTTCGGCTTTTCGGTCGCCCTGCAGAAGAAATTTGCCTTTGTAGTAGCCGGCCACTGTGGCTCCGGCTGGCAGGGTTATTTCAGAGGCGCTTGCTTCGTTGGCTATGAAGATTCTTTTGCCGATGGTGATCACCATCTTCAGGGCATTCCCCTTGTTCTTGGCTGCGCCTGACGGCAGTGCTGCTTGCCAGCACAGAGGTTTTGGCAGCTCAGCCAAGGGGATTGACTTGGCTTCCACCGACTCGGTCTTCAGAACTTTCCGAGGTGGCTGCCCTGACTCGCCCCCAGCGGACTCTCGCTTGACCGGGGTCCCAGAGCCACCGGCCACGCTTGCAGGTCTGCTGCTGCTAGGGTCATCGCCGGTGAAGTCCAGCGGAATGGTCTCGCGGGTGCGCGATAGCCATGCCTGAAACTCTGCGCCGAAGACTGCATGGTCATGCCAGGCTAGCAAAACCTTTTCTGGCGTTTTCAGCGTGGGAAGACCGTCGGCTTTCTTGTTCGACCAGGTGAGAGTATTCAGCTCTGGCTTGGGAGGGAGCGCCGATGTGAGCTCTGCCGGTAGCTCCTTCGACATCAGTGCAGGGGCGCCTGCAGGCAGGGGCAAGTCGCCACTCAAAAAGCCCTCGCTCAGCCATGTCTGCAAATGGTGCTGCTGCCACTCCAGCTCGGCAGATGTCTCTGCGAAGCCGAGATAGTACAGTGGCACGTTTGCAGACTTGCGCGCCCGCTCCTCATATACGGCCTTGGCGAACTCCAGAGTGTGGGCAGAGCAATCGACGATGAGGATGGCCGCCCGGCTGGCGCTGATAGCAGCGCCGGGTAGAACGGCTTGCATCAGCTTGCGGGCGGCGTCCTGTCCAATTTGCTGGTGTTTTTCTGACTGGCTGACATGCGTTGCCAAGTCAGACGAGTCTGGCAAAGCTTCTGGGTGCATGTCCTCGATGGTCAGCATCTGCGAGGAAGGCAGCATGGAAACGCCACCGATCACCGCCTGCTGAAACACGGGCGCCGACCTCCAGAACTGCCATGTGGCCTTGTGCGCGGAGGATTCTTCCTGGCCGCCCGGCATCAAGATGAAGCCTGGCTGCAACAAAGCTCGCCGCTCCCTCTCGTCTGTCCTCCCGGAGTAGGCCACTGCAAAGCGGTTGTCCGTGTTCAGAGCTGCGTTGGCAAGCTGATTCACGCAGCCTTGCTCTGCTTTGTACAGACTGCCGCGCTTGTAGAAATGGACTGGGCTGAGGCAGAGGCCAAGCGACACAGCCGGTCCATTCACTAGAGCTCCGGTCAGATTTGCTTGCGCTTTTTGGGCGCTGCCGCTGTGTATGCCAGGCGATGCCCAGTTGATGATGCACAGGTTGTGCACGGCTTCCCTGCCTGGAAGCTGGTGCAGCTTTGTGATCTTCTCAGCCATTTGGAGGGCGGCCTCAAGATTTGCAGCGTCGCGCTTGTCAAACATCGCCAGCCTCATATGCCAGGTAGGCCCATCTTGAAAGACCGCCTGCGCAGCTTGCTTGGCTTGGCTCTGACGATTGCAGGTGTGCTGCAGCTGCGCAAAGTATTGCGCTGCATCCCGGTCCATGCACTTTGTCCGCCAAGCCCGATATCTGTTGGCATCGTGATCCGCTGATGCCAGCATCACTTCAAACGCCTGTTTCTCGAGTTCTCCTGCGGTGATGCGAGGGCCCTGGCCAATTGCAGACATCTTTTCATCCCTATCAGCTAGGCAGATAGCTCGGATCTCTTTGAATGCCGAGATGTCTGCCGGCTGAAAGTCTGTCTTGGCCTCGCTGATAGCTGCTTGCAGCTCAAGCTCGAGGGCGATGGTCCCCTCGAGAAAAGGCAGCATGGCTTTCTCTCGCAGCAAGGCGCTTGGAACTGGCTGCTGAAGCTGCATCTCTGCTGCGCAACTCACCAACAGCTGTGCCATGCTCATGGCCTCTTCCAGGGCAGCCTTCTCCCATTTTTTGCGCATCGGCCTGGTTTTGCGCATTTGCGTCCCGTGCACGTGCTGGATGAACAAGTTGAACCCGTCCACTGTGACTGTGAGGCGCTTCTGCCAAGGCTTTGCGATGCCGCGGGGGGAGAACCCAGGTGACAGACGTTTGTTCGCAAAGGCGTCGTGCGCGAAAGCTGTGTCCTCCCCAAAGTTGGAGCTGTGCTCGAGCAAAAGTAGCACGGATTCCTGCGGCAGCTCCAAAAGCTGCAGGATGGCCGTGCGCTTTTGCCCTTGCAGGGCGGACTCGCGGGTCGCTGCTTCGTTCCAGCGCCGAAGGACTTCGGTAGGCGAAAGTCCCTTCTGCTTAAGCAGGCTGAGTTTGCTGAGCCAAGTGATGGTGTCATGACCCTTTCGAATATCGCCTCGGGCGCTGAGCTTTGCATTTTCAATGGCGATGGAAGCAGCGTCCGTGGCCGCCACTGACCGAGTTGCCGAGATCACGGTCATGCTTTGATGCAGCTGGGGGCTCAGAGATGCCACGTCGGCCTTTAGGTGGTGAACCAATACGTGCGCAAGAAACAAGACGCTTGTAGCACGCGCAGCTCCTTTCACATAGTGCGTGAAAAACACAGGCTGGTCGTTGGCGTCAACCGCTGCTCCTGATTCCGGGCCTTGATACAGAAGCAAAGGCTCGGCCTCGGTCAGGAAGGAGTTGCACAAGTATTCGTCTACCAGCCGGCGCGCGGTGATCTTGAACGTAGCCGGCTTGGAAGTGCAGCTCAGTCCCCAGCCCAACTGCCAGAGAGAGAGGGTCATCGGTGACTGAGACAGGCTGGTGCCAGATAAGTATGTCAGATCTGGCCTTGGGGGGAAGTTGGCTTTCAGATCGTCAACAAACTCCCCCCATTTGGAGCTGGGATCCGCCCCCAGCATCGCGGTTAAGTATTGCACAGGGCCCCCGAACGCGTCCAAGATGGCGTCCGTGATGCGCAGTGTCTCTTCTCGAAAATTTTCGGGCTGCAAGGCCAGCTGGCTTTGCAAAATCTGCCCTAGGACCGGCGCTCCTGCAGGAGTGGCCGGCCCCAGGCTCTGAGCTGCTTCGAGAGGTTCCTTGGAGGTCGCTTTCGTGTCTTCAGGCCTTTCATCTGTCTCTGCCTTGGCCTCCAAGCTGGCCGCCATGATGGCGGGCAAAGCGTAGGCGGCAAAAATGGCGGCGGGGGTGAAGCTGCTGTGCTGCTTTGATGTGAATGTGAAGCTGGCTATGCGTGGCTACTGCTGATGCATGTGTCCTTTCAAATGTCATTTGAGCCAAAACTCGTCTGGGGGAGGGGGTGACATTTCCCAAACTACAAAACCCCAAATCTTGACCAACTGGGGGGGCGGAAATCCTGCACCCCCAGATCGTCAAGTTTCTGCCGAAACTTGACCATCTCAGGATGGAAACCATGAATCTTGACCAACTGGGGGGGCGGGAATCCTGCCCCCCCACATCGTCAAGTTTTGATAACTCACAAGAGGGATCGTCAAGTTTCTGCCGAAACTTGACCATCTGGGGGGGCGGAAATTCTGCCCCCCCAGATCGTCAAGATTTGGACATGACGACATAATGGGTGTCACTCCTTTTTTTTTCTTCCTTGGAGTCGGCGACGTGCTATCACCCAGCGCTCTGGGCAGGCGTCCCGAGAGGCTGCATGCTGGCCCTGCGCAAGCGCCGCAGCTGCCGTCTAGCGGCGGCTTTCCCACTCTGCTTTGACGGCCTTCTGCAGCAAATCGACAAACTCTGGCGTGTAGACTTGGCACCACTTGCTGAGGGAGATGCCGCCCTCGGAGCCTTCGATGACTGCGTGTGCCTCAGAGCAGCAGCATTGAAGGGGGGTGAAAAGATTGACGAGAGCTGCAGAGTTTGTCAGCAGCGTCGTCCGTTTTTTGAGAAGCTTCTTGGTGACCGGGGTGCGCAAGTTCACCCTGCACTGGTCAAAAGAAACCTTGTGAACTCCGGGCTCTTTTGCTACGGCCTGGACACTTGGTCGCTTCCAAGACCTGGCCCTCTGAGGGTGCTCATGGGCAAAAAGCTGTCGCTTGCGGCACTGTCGCTTGGCCACCATCATTGAGTAGTCAAGTAGACAGTTTGCCTCCTCAAATCGCCGCGCTCTGTCTGCGGGATTCATTTTCGCGAGATTGGCGTTTTGCATTGTGCTGAACATCGTGCAGGGGGAAGACAGCATTGCAAACATTGGGTCATGTGCTTCAAGTAAGCTCCATGCCCGGGCGCGATCTTCGAACTGTAGGAAATCGTAGCCCGTGACGATGTCAAAGCTGTAGACTGCTAGAAATCCCTCGCGCCGCAAAGGTATGGCGACCCGCGGTGGCGAGAAGAATTCCATGAAGATGTGCTGCCCTGCGTCCTCGTCTTCGATCTCGATGGCCGACCGGTGCTGCGAAGCTGACCTGGCGGCGGAGATATCAGTGACTCAACATCATGACCGACGCTAGTTACTGCTTCTAAATGTAGATGTGTGACAAATCTCAAAGCTTGCAGCAAACGCACGACGCCGAGTGGACACTCTGTCAGTGACTCCAGCTTCGCCTCCGTCGGCTGCGACTTCGTGGCCTATGACTGGACGACGGCGGACAAGCGATGACAACGTCGTCGCTGTGGTCGGCCATGATGCTGGACGGACCAGGATGACTGGGTTCAATTTGAACGGGAGGTATGACAAATGGACGTGGTGGGTTGACTTGTCACGGGTGCCTGTCTATGGGCTTCTTCATGGTGCTATGGTTTGAGCCAAGATGTGGGGGTTGAGCTGCAGCTGTGAAATACATCAGAGAGAACTGTTCTAAGCCAAAGACGCAAAGAAAAGCAACACTGCCAACGCGCATCGCGGAACGAACCGTTGGACGGCAGTAGTAAGTGGCGGTCAGAAGTGTGGCCAAATGTAGCCTGCGTCGAATCGGAATCAGTCTAGGCAGGGCAGCGATTCTTTTTCCCGCCAAGCTTTCACCTTGGCTGGCTAGTCGGCGGGCCTCCAGATCCACGCAGTTTCGTCCTGGTTCAGCTGGATGCCGGCCTTTTTTCGACACTGCTGGCAGCCAGACGCGCTGTAACGACACCGGGTGCAGCCGAGAAGCGCAGCAGCGCCAGCGGGCATTGGCAGGCGCCCCAGGTGTCTGCGGGGTGGCCGGGCAGCGGGCGCTTCCGAGCCTAGAGCCTGGGCCCGGGCCTTGGCAGATGGCTTGGCTGCAGCTGCCTTACTGGCGGCCTTGGCCTTCGCCTTGCCCTTTGCCTTTGCTCCGGCCTCGGCTTTTGCCGCCGGCTTGGCCGCTGGCCGTGAGCCGGGCGCTGCCACTCTCGGCGGAGCGCCGCCTCTGCCGTATAAGGCTGCCGGGGCACCCATGGTATCCCTGCCGTGCTCTGCCCCTGGATCTGACACGCGAGAAGCGGCTGGCAAGAGTGGTCCTCCATCCAGTGGACCGGCGGGCGGTGGCAGCTCTGGCGTCGATGGCTCAGCCTCTGGGTGGGACAGAGTCTGGCCCTGCTCTGGAACAGCTGCTGCCTCAGAACTGCTAGCGCCTCTGGCCGCGGCAGTGCTCTCGTCTCCGATTGTCGGTTGTCGCAGCAGCGCTGGCTGCTTGACTTGCAGGCGCCGCAATTTTTGCGGTGGCCTTGCAACTTGGACTGGCGCGGGCTTGGCGTGGTTCCAAGAAAATGCATTTTCTGCCAGCGCCCGTCCTACCGGTTCGTCGCGGGTAGCGTCAACCTCCGCGCGAGTCCCCTGCAACATCCACTGCGTGGGCAGAGGGACCCACTGCTCGGAGGTGTTGTTCGCGTTCTCTTCGAGAAACTGCAGCAAAAACGCGCACCCTGCGTGCATTGACCAGGGCTCCCGCGAAATCGCCTCTGCAGTTTTTTGGAACTCCCGGTGCTGGCGCTGCGAAAGCGAAAGCCGTGCAGACAGCTGCGAGGGGCCATTAGGCGGCAGCTTTTCAAAGTCGGTGGCCCGAGCAAACACAGCGGGCTCTTGGCAAGGCTCGTGGCTGCTCAGGTACTGCTGACAAGTCAGTATCACATCCTCTGCGTCAGGATCGGCTGATGGCAGAGTTGGCCCGCCACTGGTGCTACCGCGGAGCGCGAATCCAAAAGCATGAATCGCTTCCTCGTTCCGCTGCTTTTGAAATTTAGTCTGCGCGTGCCCGGACACTCTGAGCTCCAAATGTTGAAAGAAGCTTTTGAAGTCTGGGGCTGCGTGCAGGTGGTGGACGGCGAGCTCGCGGGACTCTCTGGGCTTCACCCCGGAGCGGATTGCCTCTGCAAAAGCTGACGGGTCCTCCAGCACGGTGGACTGCGACAGCGCCGACCTCAATTCAGAAAATCGTTGGTCGATTTTGCTGTGCGTGTGTCCGACTCGAAACTGAGTTAGGAGCACGCTGTCGAACAATTTGCGCTTCACCAGCCAAGCTGCGAGGAAAAAAACTGTCTGATTTTTTCCTTCGGACGCCGCGTTGTCGGTGTGGAGCCGCAGGTGGCGGGGAAATGGCTTTCCCCGCGCCTGAAAGCTCTCTTTCGCAAGCTGCAAAGAATGGCCGATGATTGTGATGTGAAGGTCGGCGTTCTTTGACAGGTCGGGATCGCACAAGTAGTAGCACTCGCGCAGGCCTTCTGTGATTGCACCGATCAGACTCAGTTCGGGTCGCCAAAGGTTTTGAAACTCTTTAGAGGCGCCTATGTTGCGCGGGCAGCGAAATTTCGCTGCGTCCATCGCGTCGATTGTGATGGATAGCAGCGAATTTTCGCTGCTGGGAACTCCTGTCAAGGACCCCGCAGCCAACTGAGCGGCTGCGCACAGGCGCTGGTCCGCGGCCCTGTCTTGCATGACAGCTTCCAAGTGGCTTGCGTACTCCTCGGAAACTTTTTTGGAGTCAGCCGGCGCACTGCACTGCTTGCGATACGCCTTAAATCGCTCGCAAAGGGAGCACTTGCTGTGCTGGCCTTCGTTGCGGATCTTTAGGCGCTTGGCCCACCGCAGGTGATAGCATCCGATAAAGGTCGAATACGACACTCGCGTGTCTGGCAGGAATGACATCGATAGATCGTGCATTTCAGCCAGCGTGGTCCCTGGCGGCATCCACCGGACCCCTTGCTCCTCCTCTTCAAGGCGGTCAAGGAAACCCAGAGGATCCAGGATCAAAAAAAATCAATCTTTTTCTATAAAAAAATATCAATCTTTTTGGAGATCAATCTTTGCATTTTATAGCTGTTTTTTGTGTTCCCAATCACATCAAGGAAGATCAATCTTTTCCTGAGAAAATATATAAAAATATCAATCTTTTTTTGCAAAATATCAATCTTTTTTGCACAAAAACTTGACATGTCCAAGAACTTAAGGATCTCATTTGCCCTTCTGCAGGGCACATGCAGCACACCACTTCTTTTTTTGCCTGGCGAAATATGTTAACGTTCTGTGTCACAGCAGCCCCTTCCAGAACCTGACATACATCATCAGCCGATACTTTTTCAAGATCTTAACAGAAAGCAAAGTGGCTGTTGTGCCAAACGATGCTGAGTGTGCAAGCTTGCTGATTCTGCCCACATAGTCTTCAGCCTTAAAGCACCATGCGTGTCTGGGATTGCCAAACCTGAAAGCAAGGGCCAAATGCTTGGCCATGTGAAATTTGATCACTGTGTGCCAGGTGAAGTCATTGGACCTGTGCAGCTGCAGCCACTTGTAATGCCCCAAAAAGGAAGTCATCAGAAAGGCTGCCTGGCAGGCCTCTTGCTCACTTGGAAACCTGGGAGCTGCATCCATCAAATCTACAAAAGCTGCCATGTCTTCAAAGATAGCCAGGATCTTGGAGGAGACTTCATCTCCTTCATGGAACTCCACTGCCAGTTGTGCAAACAGATGCACCAATGCTTTGCATTCCCCAGCTTTTGCCCTAAGGAAAGGCTGGGTCTGATGAGGCTTGTCGGGGCTGGTGAACATGGATAGCTTCAATGTGGGCAGCCTGCAGTCCACTTCAAAGTCTTTGTAGAGCGACTGTATTTTTTGCCAAATATGTTTGACTTTGTCCCTTATGCTTCTTCCTGGCACAGCCTTGCAAGTGTAGCACCAAAACTTCAACGCATTGCCCATACAATGAGAAAGAACACCTTTGCGAAACAGGATGTGCATTGCATCCTGTGCAATATTGAAATGGGATACTCCATGAATGGTAAAGAGTGGGTGTGCTGAGATCCTGCAATTCATTTCTTCTTGAGGTAGCCTCCAGCCTTCAATGTCTTTGTCCAGGTTGCTCTGCTGCTGAGGGCCAGTCATCTTACACTCCCAGCAGGGCTGTGCGTTCATCCAATGTGGCAGCTTCAGGACATTGGCAAAAAATTCTTGGTCACCCATGACCTGCCAGATTGTAAACCTGTAATTGTGAACAATGTCAGTCTTTCCTGCCTGCAGCTTAGAGAATGAAGGAACAATATGTGACCACAGTGTCTCCCAGGTTGCACTCACTGCACAATCTTTGGGAAAGGCCAGCAGCAAGAGAGATGAGCTCAATGATGGGCCTGAATTCAAGACAGAGCCCCAGGAATACACCATCATAGTTTTGCCATCGGCATACTCCACACCATCTCCATGAACCCAGAGTGGGACTGTTGCTGGTAGGTCCTCATGCTTTAAGCTGGATTCCTGCATGAGTATTAAGCCTGGGGTCATCAGGCCTAACATTGTTCCAAAACTCATGTAGGCCATCTGGTTGGAAAATGCTCTGGAAATGCTCTGGGCTCTCCTGCAATGCTGCCACAGTGTTGCAAGGGTCAAAAAAAGCAACGTCAGTGGTCTCTTCCTCACTTGTCCTGGGGTTGGAGCAAGGGCAATCCTTGATGATAGTGGGCTCTGCAAAGGATGCCTTGCTTTCTGAAACCACCATCCTCTCCAAATCCCTGGACACATTGTTGGGGTGTTGTCCCCAGGAGCCACAGCTGGCCACCTTGGCCACGGCAGGGTGCTTCAGCCCATCCAGAAAAGCACTGTGTGCTATTTTCTGGCAAGCAATGGCAGAGATGTCACCAAGAGTCCACAGCCAAAGCAAGTGAGTCTGCAACACTGATTCTGAATCTGTGTTGGCTGCTTTGGGGTCGCGCAAGCACCCCAGGCTTTGCTTGTACCCAGGCATGATGCTTATCGGCTGCAGCATGATCCTATACTAGCTATAAGCTGGAATGCACTTCTGCAGCGCAACAGATTCACAACCTGCACTTTTTCCTTTGCTGCGCCTTGGCTATTGCATCTCTGGGTCATCTGTCGGCTCCTTTGCAATGGTCTGCAGTCGAATTACACCAACTGATGCTAAACTCAATTCTGGAGGCTCAGCTTCATCGAATTCACACCGACAGTCTTTGCAAATCTGCCACAGCTTCAAGTACTCAGTCCTGCATGCAAAGAAAACACATTCATGAAAACACATGCATGAGCAAGGCTGCTTGCATGAACTCCTTGGCAGGTATGGCTCCAGTTGGCACAGCCAACAGGACAGGCAAATCTTATAATCTGCCAGCAAGGCAAGTTCTTCAACTGACAGCATGCTGCTAACCTTGCCCTTTGCTGAGCCAAATATTTGCTGGCAAACCAGATCCTCAACATGCGTGCCAGCAATCTATGCAGCTGGCACAGACGCCATTGTTTTCTCAGTCAGATCGGTCTCTGGTGCGCAGCATTTCTACTCCAGCTGCTATCCTAGCCTCTCAGCCAAATATTTCTTTGCACAAGGCAATCTTCTCTTTGGCATTCTGCTGAATGGCCTGGAACTCCTTGTGCTCCCACACATCGCCCTTGTCGGACACTTTGGAGAGGATCTCTTCCAGCTCACCCTTTGCTTTGGCTGCGTGCCCTCTTTTGTCACCATCTGTGGTTTCAAATGCCTTGCAGCCCACGACAGTGATGGCTTTGGACAAAGCAGATTTCAGCCACTGGATTTGTTTCTTGGTCACCTGCTCCTCATCATCTTTGTTTGCTTTTCCTTTCTTGCCAATGCCTTTGGAAGTCTTACCCTTCATGCTCCCCTTGCCCTTGGCAATGCTGGAACCAGTGCCAAACAGCTGGATGTCATTGAAGCTGCTGAGCCAAAGGCAGTCCAAGCCTTGTCCCAGTCATCATCATCGTCCTCCTTGGTCTCTGGCTTGAGCTGGCTCTTGGAAGACTTGCTGAGCTGCTTATCTCTGCCCAACACCTTGGTTGTCTTCACCTTGTTGTTGTCTTTGAATTCCCAAACTCCAGGTGTGTCTGGGCACTCCCTTTCAGAGATTCTTCCACTGTGAATGTGCATCGTCTCCTCCTCACTCCATTCTTGCAACATCTTGGTCCAGCTGATCCACTCATCAGTCTTCTCGAGATTTTGGCTCCCCCTCACAGTGTGGGTTAACTCTTGCCAGACATCAGTCATGGTTGGGTCAAGGGCAAGGCAGCCAACCAAGTGCCTGTGAGCTTTCTGCCCTTGGCTTGCAGCCAACTTGTCAATTTCACTGTTTTGTTTTTTTCTGGCTGAGGAAAACCTGCCATTGAGCTTGTTCCAGTCACCCAAGGTCAAGTGGTCGTTCAAAAGCTGCAACTTATCGTCTGCAGACAAGTCGGTGTTGCTCCTCAGCAACTCCAGCTTCATGTTCAAGCTCTTGACTTGCTCAACTCAGACTTCACGTGGTCAAGCGGGCTTGGGTCCTCATTCTGGCTCTTGCCTGCTTTTTCAGGCTCTTCAGTCTGGTCGACTGGTACAGGGTTGGCCTTCTGAATCAGGCAGGCTTACACCCTCAGCCTTGGCCGACTTGCTCTTGCTTTCACCTGATGTGCTCATGGAGGGTCTCTTGCGGGGCCCCATGGCTCAGTGTCTTCAGTGCTCAATCTACTTTGCTACACAGATCCACTTGTGGCAACGCATGCAAGCCTGAGAACATTGCAATAAATGCAGCACTTGCGCCCTCACAACATGATGGCCAGGCACACTCCTATATTGCATCTGGCCCTTCTGCAGGGCCAGATTCACTTTCCACATTGGACTTGGCCCTTGTGCAGGGCCAAATGCAGTTTCCCAATGCCCTGGCCCTTCTGCAAAACCAGATGCATTTGAGAGCCCTTCTGCAGGGCCTTCTTCACATCCCCAATGCTTCCATGAATGAGCCAGATGCAAAAAAAAACAAAGCAACAACCCAGACTGAAACAACAAACACATACTTCTGCTAAGTATGTAGTACAGGCAACATATCTGTAATACAGAAAAACATCTGTAATACAGAAAAAAACATCTGTACTACAGAAAAAACATCTGCAATACAGAAAAAAACATCTGTAATACAGAAAAAACAACATCTGCAATACAGAAAACAACATCTGTAATACAGATAAAAAATCTGTAATACAGATAAAAAATCTGTAATACAGATAAAACAACATCTGCAATACAGAAAACAACATCTGTAATACAGATAAAAATCTGTAATACAGATAAAAAATCTGTAATACAGATAAAAAATCTGTAATACAGATAAAAAATCTGTAATACAGATAAAAAATCTGTAATACAGATAAAAACACCTGTAATACAGATAAAAAAAAATCTGTAATACAGATAAAAAATCTGTAATACAGATAAAAAATCTGTAATACAGATAAAAAAAAAATCTGTAATACAGATAAAAAATCTGTAATACAGATAAAAAAATCTGTAATACAGACTGTAGTATTTACAATGCAGGCCACAAAAAACATACCAAACTACCTGTAGCATGGCACAGACAAAATGTCTGTAATAAAGCCAAACCATGTGAATTCGTCACACTGCACTTTTTTTGCCTTTGCACCAGCAGTGATCAGGTGCTTACACTTGGCCCCAGTACCTGTGTTCCAAGGCTACATCATGGCAGTGGCACATGCACAGTGGGCGGCAAGCACTTTGGCAATGCTCACACCAAAGTTTGCCTTTGCCCTTCATCACAGTGACACCCTTCCTATTGCCTTTGCCTTTTTGAGGCTGTGTGTGCTTGTTTTTGCCTTTGCCATGGCCCTTGCTAGGCTCAGGCAAATCATGCACCCAAGCTCTCACAAGCTTGAAGTCAGAGCTCACAAATTCTTGATGTCTCCAGGCTTCAAAAAGTTTCATTGCGTGTGCCACCTCCAAAAGCTGCAGCATTTTCATCCACTCATCTGGGCTTTGCTGCAACCACCTTGCCAGCTGCTCTGGCCTCTCACTCATTTGAGACCACCTCTCCTCAGCATTCGTGATGCTTGGTGCATCAAATGCAACCATTTCTTTGGTCCCATCTTCACGCTCCAGGTAGGCTTCCACAGGTCCACCTCTGATGCTGGCGAAGACAACCATGTTCTTGTGGCTCCACATCAGACGGTCACCTCCAATGGCTGGAACAAGCTGGACCCTCATGGGCCTAGACATTTCCTGCTAAGGAGCAAAGCTATCTGGAAGCCACTTCTTGAACATCCAAGGCTGCATGGCTACTGCGTGCACACATGTGTTTCTCAAACAGCTTGCCTCAGATCCCCCTTCTGCAGGGGTTTTGCTCTTCAGGATGCCTGCTCAGTCTTTCCTGCCCCTTCTGCAGGGGCTTTACCACCATGGCACCAAAGCTGTCCCTTGAACAGTTTCTAAACAATTGTCAACTAAATCAAAACAGCACTATTGCCTCTTCTGCAGAGGCTTAATTGACTCTCCCCTGATTCAGCTGGACATGTTGCAACTTCTGCAATGCGAATCTCCCCCCCCTGCAATGGAAAAAACGCGCTCAAAGCATTTTCCTCAGGTCTGGAAGACTGCAATGCATGGAAAATAGCACTTGCGCAGTGCAATCGCCATGAATATATTATTCTCATGCAATATTGTATACAGCTCTCACCTCGGGTCAAAGGGGCTCTTCTTGGGGCTCTTCTTGGTCTTTGGCTGCTTGTTCTTCTTGCTCTTCTTCTTTTTCTCTGTGGCCTTGGGAGGTGAAGGCGGCTCAGTCTCAGAGGCATCTGCTGCACTCTCTTCAGCTGCATTCGTTGCATCCTGCTCCTTCATCTGCTCTGCAACTTCTGAGATCAGCTGCAGAGCTTTCTCTTCAGCAGCTTTCTTGGCACTTTCAGCTGCAGCTCTTGCCTCCTGAGCAGCCTTCCTCTTTGCAGATGCCTCAGCAAGCTTGGCCACTGCTTCTTGCTTCTGCGAGCTGCTTCTCCTCAGCTGCTGCTTTTTTCTCCTCAGCTGCAGCCTTTTGCTCCTGCTCAGCTGCCAACTGCACAGCATCTGCTGCCATCTTTTCTTCTGTTTCCTGCAGGGCCTGCATCTTTTCGAAGGTGCTGGCTTCCTCTTTGGCCTCCTGCTCGCTCTTCCCTTGGCTCAGCAGGTAGTTCACCAGCTGCTGTGACTCCTTCGTCTCGGCCACCTCCTTCTTCTCAAAGTTGGCCACCTCCTTCTTCTCAAAGTTTGCCACTTCTTGCTTATTTGCCTCCTGCTCGCCCTGCTCCTGCCGCTTGCTTTTGCTTTCTTCTTCCCAGCTTCCATGCCATTTCCTCTTTTGGCCATACCCGCAGTTGTCGCACCAGCCTCTGTTCCTGTAAGCTTGGACCCCACACCTTCTGCACCAGCCTTTCCAGCTGGCTGCAACTTTCCCACCATCAGCTGAGGAAGCTGGGTTGGGGTCTGAGGCTTCACCAGGCTGCAAGCTTTGCAGCAGCTCCTGCACTTTTGCCCAGCCTCCTTGCCCTCCTTGGTCCAGCTGGTTGGCCAGCAGGTTCACAATGGCTTTTTGCACAACCTTCCTTTTGGCCAGCCTCCTGTCCCTGCTGTTGCCTTGCTCAAGGTCAAGATCTCCAGCTGCATCATCTGACGCCCAGAATCCTGGCCCAGAGCTCAAAGCCTGCAGCAACTTGTTGCACATCTCTTGTTCGTCAAGCTGCTGCTGCTGCTGCTGCTGCTGTGGCAGCTGCTGCGGCAGCTGCTGCTGCTGCTGCGGCTGCTGCTGCTGCGTCTGCAGCAGATGCATGCTCAAGGGCTGCATTCGGACAGGCCCCTGGCCCAGCCCTTGCTGCAGCTGGGCGTGCAGCATGGCTTGCAGCTGCTCCACAGTCATGATCCCAGGCTGCATGTTATTCATGCTTCTCACCAGCAAGTGTTTTACTTGCAAGCTAATCTCAGCTTGAGCCATGGAACTGCAGCACCAACAATTAATGTGTGTGTGCTCAAACGCATGCAAATCAGCTCATGCAAGATATTCCTGCAGCCTCTTCTGCAGAGGCTTGCGCGCGCACCCTCTTCTGCAGAGGCTGTGCTTTGCTTTCCCCATCCCCTTCTGCAGGGGAATTGCTCTTTCAGCAGAGGATTTGCTGTTTGTTCTCTTCTCCGCCCCTTCTGCAGGGGAATTGTTTTGGGAATTGTTTTTCAGCTCCCCTTCTGCAGGGGCTTTCTGGCATAACAAACTTCCACAAAAAACAAGGTTTACTTGGTGCACCTCTTCTGCAGAGGCTAGCCCTCTATGAATGTGTTGCATGGATAACAAACTTCCACAAAAAACAAGGTTTACTTGGCGCGCCTCTTCTGCAGAGGCTAGCCCTCTAGCAAGGATGAATGTGTTGCATGGATCCCTCTGATGTCTTTACGTGTGAGACAACCCCAAGCTATAG